GCAGATGTTCAACCACGGTCTCTCCCAGCTACCACAAATCTGATGTTCTGAGCAATTGCCAGAAAGATGAAACCGTTCGGCACAAATTTGGTGCTTCTGCTTGGCCACAGCACCTTAAGTGCGGCTCATTTATCAGCAGAGAGGTACATGCTGCTTAGAAGCAAAACCTGATCCCAGGATCCGGAAACCATATAAGCAGAGGAGCAGTGAGAAACGATAGGTCTAAGGGGTCCTGAAAAAGATAAATCTTTTTCTGGCCCTTGTTACCAGAAAAGAGAGGGAAAATACTTGGAGAACACGTCCAGAAGTGAACAAAGATATGGTTGTTATGAGATTGGAAGACGTCGACAGGGAGAGGAAATTGGTTTGTATAATTAGATTGATCTAAGAATTACCTTGTCGTCACAGTATACCTTTCTGTTAAGGAGATGTAACGTCTTCTTTTGCCAGATAAAGACAGAGTGCTTTCCTTTTATAAAAGAACATCGCCAAAGTATACTTCAAGTTACTGGCAAACCCAGGACTAACCTTCAAGCTTTCTCCTCTTGGCCAGTCTATATACTGGAATAGAGCCATTTCTCCCATCAATATGAAAAGTTTATTTCTTGCCTTGGCTTCTGTTTTAACTGCTAACCTTTATCTCCTGTCCCGCAGCTGGGATGAGAGCAGCTCCATCAGCAGTGGGCTCAGTGATGCCTCGGACAACCTCAGCTCAGAAGAGTTCAATGCCAGCTCCTCCCTCAACTCCCTCCCAACTACTCCCACTGCTTCTCGCAGGAACTCTACAATAGTGGTACGTGAGCTTACAAACACCTGGGCCACTGTGTCGAGATGAACCACAGGGCAGACGGCAATGCCTGGGTACACGTTCGCACACACACTCGCCCACCCCGTGGGATCTCTTCCTGTGTGCCTTTGGCCAAGTCCTTTTAGAGCTGGCCAAAGGAAACCTGAGGCTACCAAGCAGTCTTAGCTGTGGTCCTAGTAACACCTGTATTAGTGGCCACGCCTACTTGGAGTGATACATCTCTGTTCCAACCAGAGAAGAAAAAGAAGCCCTGAAAGACACAGGATGTCTTTTCTCTGGCACACGAGAGGCATAGGTCGAAACCCTGGGTTGACAACACTGTGGAACGAGCAGGGCCACCCAGCAACCAAAATAAATCCCGTCAGCCTCCTTGTTTCCATCCCCAAGACCCTCATGTCTCTGCTTTTTCTGTTCTCCTCTTCAGCTCCGCACAGACTCAGAGAAGCGCTCACTGGCAGAAAGCGGGCTGAGCTGGTTTAGTGAATCAGAGGAGAAGGCCCCCAAAAAACTGGAGTACGACAGTGGTAGCCTGAAGATGGAACCTGGGACTTCTAAGTGGCGGAGAGAGCGGCCCGAAAGCTGTGATGATTCATCCAAGGTTGGAGAACTGAAAAAGCCTGTCAGCCTGGGACACCCTGGTTCCCTGAAGAAGGGCAAGACCCCACCGGTGGCTGTCACTTCCCCCATCACTCACACAGCCCAGAGTGCCCTCAAAGTCGCAGGTGAGCCTGGAATAAAGGAAGGGACGAGGGCAAAGTCCTCTTTCTTTGGCTGCTCCTCTCCTTAAGGTCATTAACCCACAGGATGGTAGCAAACATCTACAGAGTGCTTTAACAACAGTCTTGTGAGGTAGGGAAGATAGGTATTACTATTTCCATTTTATGAATATAGAAATAAAAACAAAAAGGGGTTAAGTGGCAGAGCCAAAACCATACAGCTAATAAGAGGGAGAGGCAGGAGTATGTTATGTTCAGAGACTAGTTTGACCTGCCTTTAGATACTTCCCATTGGTTGGCTTTCTTTCCTCTCCCAAGACATTTGGCTGGCGTACTTCTTCACAAGGTACTTGCTTGGCCTCCCCGTGAGGTCCCAAGAAAACAAAAAATCAGAATTGCATTGCTCCCAAAGTTGGCCCCTTGGGTAACTTTTTGCCTTAATTGACACTTCCTTCCAGTCTCTACCTACCAGGAGGTGTGGCCATAATCTCGGCTGTTTGTGGCCCCTCCTTTTTGTCCTTCCTTGGCCAGTTGTTAGATGCACTTCTTTCTTAACCTTTGTGGTTGCCTCTGCCATTTTCACCAAAGTGGAATGTCCTACTGTAATGGGAGTGGGTCGTTTGGTTTTTTTTTTTAAGTTTTATTTATTTTGAGAGAGAGAGCACGCATGCACTCGTGTGAGCAAGCTGGGGAGGGGTAGAGAGAAAGGGAGAAAGAAAACCAAGCAGTCTCCACGCTGTCAGCACAGAGCCCAACACGGGGCTTGATCCCATGAACTGGGAGATCACGACCTGAGCCCAAATCAAGAGTCACACGCTTAATTGATTGAGCCACCCAGGCGCCCCTGCTGTATTTTCTAGAAGCAGAAAATAACAAAAAGCAAAACAAACAAATAAAAAAAACCCTGAGGCCGCTCCTACCCAGTCTCCTTCCTCTGGCGAGAAATTTCATCAGCCTACATGGTACCTGCTTACCAGTCTCTAAAATCCTATAGTACCTTGTCAATGTGTCCTTTTCCCGTGGAGGGCAAGAAAGGGATTTGCCGGGACATTGCCAAGGTATGGGCCAGTTTCAGCCACTCTTACCTCATTTCCCGCCCTCTTACAGGCAAACCGGAAGGCAAAGCTACGGACAAGGGTAAACTTGCAGTGAAGAACACCGGGCTACAGCGCTCCTCCTCTGACGCCGGCCGGGATCGCCTGAGTGATGCTAAGAAGCCTCCCTCGGGCATTGCTCGCCCCTCCACTTCGGGATCTTTTGGCTACAAGAAGCCTCCTCCTGCCACAGGCACAGCCACTGTCATGCAGACCGGGGGTTCGGCCACTCTCAGTAAAATCCAGAAGTCCTCAGGCATCCCTGTCAAGCCCGTGAATGGACGCAAGACCAGCCTAGATGTGTCCAACAGCGCAGAGCCCGGATTCCTGGCTCCTGGCGCCCGTTCCAACATCCAGTACCGAAGCCTGCCCCGGCCAGCCAAGTCCAGTTCCATGAGCGTGACCGGTGGGCGGGGCGGACCTCGCCCTGTTAGCAGCAGCATTGACCCCAGCCTTCTTAGCACCAAGCAGGGGGGCCTTACACCCTCCAGACTGAAGGAGCCTTCCAAGGTGGCCAGTGGGCGGACCACTCCAGCCCCTGTCAATCAGACCGATAGGGAAAAGGAGAAAGCCAAAGCCAAGGCGGTGGCCTTGGACTCAGACAACATCTCCCTGAAGAGCATTGGCTCCCCAGAGAGTACTCCGAAGAACCAAGCCAGCCACCCGCCAGCCACCAAGTTGGCAGAACTGCCACCAACCCCTCTCAGGTACCCAAACTGGGCAGCTTCTTCCTCGTCCCTCTGCTCTTTCTTTGACACATGCCTGTACTCCTTAGACCAAGTGAGGCCTGGCCTACCTACCCACTGTCGCCTCTGGACCTTTGCCTGGCTCTTTCCCCTCCACTCCCCTGTATGCCAAGTTCCTTCTCCCTCTTTCAAAACTCACCTCGTTTATCCTATTCCCTGACCAACCCTTAACCTATCTTCAGCACTCGGACGAGTGGGTTTTCTGGGTTTCCTTACACGTATCTTTGTATGTAAATCCATCCGTGTGTAAACCCACCTGTGTCTCCCACGTGCATGTGCTGTCCCCCTCATGAAGACCGCCTCTTGCTTCTGTCACTCTGTTATTCTGAAAACTTTATTTAATTTTCGCTTCCCTCAGGGCCACAGCTAAGAGCTTTGTCAAGCCACCCTCCCTAGCCAACCTAGACAAGGTCAACTCCAACAGTCTGGATCTGCCATCGTCGAGTGAGGCCCACGCTTCAAAGGTCCCAGATCTGCATCCTACAAGCTCAGCGACCGGGAGCCCTCTCCCTTCTTGCTTCACCCCTAGTCCAGCACCCATTCTCAATATTAACTCAGCCAGCTTCTCCCAGGGCCTGGAGCTAATGAGTGGTTTCAGTGTCCCCAAAGAGACCCGCATGTACCCCAAACTCTCAGGCCTGCACAGGAGCATGGAGTCCCTCCAGATGCCAATGAGCCTGCCCAGTGCCTTCCCCAGCAGTACCCCTGTTCCCACCCCCCCGGCCCCCCCTGCTGCACCCCCAGAGGAAGAGACGGAAGAGCTGACCTGGAGTGGAAGCCCCAGAACTGGGCAATTGGACAGGTAGGTGGATAGAGAGACACAACTGAACCTGGGTCTGTCCCTATGGCTCTGGCTCATTTCGCCATTAGTAACACCGTCCTGTATTTGATTGCCGGGCTGTGACTTTGAAAATTTTTTCACGTACAGTAAGTAATTTCATGTGCTTCACAACACCTCCAGGAGATACGTGGGAGTTCCAAATTACTGTGCTGATAAATTATTATTATTATCACTATGATAATTGTACACTGGGGACACTAGTGCACAGACATTAAGTGGCTTTTCCAAGATTTCACAAGTAGTTTAACCTGTCATCCAAAGCTTTTGCTTTTTAGGCCAGACTGATGTCTATTATATCACACCTTAATGTGACCTTTTAGGTAGCTAACCACATCCTGATTCCTGAGCAGACAAAAACACTTCGTATTTCAAGTGAATTTCTCAAGTTGTAAGCACAGAGGAAGACTGCAACTGTCTTATTTTGTTTATAGAGATAAAGGGGTTTGCAGTTTGATGTCCTGTGTTAGGTGTTGCATCCTGTAAACCTGTGGTCCCAAATTCTAGTTTCTAAGATGGACCCACATGCCTCTCTCTCTCTCTCTCTCTCTTTTTTCTGCACAGCAATCAGCGGGATCGGAACACTCTTCCCAAGAAAGGGCTCAGGTAACCCTTAAATGTGTTTTTCCTTCCCTCTATCTGCGGATCCTGGTCTTTGGGAAAAACTGTAACTTGACCCGTCCTGAGTCCCGGTCATGAATTTAGTGTCCCTTTTAGCCAAGTTCTTTGTATGTGGTGCCTGTGCGAATGCCTCCTCGAGCCCTACCCAAGCTTAGTATTATGTGTGAGTCAACTTTATAGCCAGAGTTCTTTTTTGGTGACAGAGAGGAAGCAGGTTGGCACATGGGAATCCTACCTACCCTGACCTGTCCCGGCCTGTGCTGTCCCCAGTCCTGACTAAACTTCCTCTCTGTAATTTTCCTCCCTCAAAGTAAACCGGTGGGAGGACAGGCCGCCTCTGGGGTCGCTGAGATGGGGAAGAGCAGGACACCCCGGTCCTCCACCAATTCTGCAGCCCTGAGTCCTTCAGCTAGGTGACTCCTGCTCTGTGGAAGCCCACGTATGGAGTCGTAAAGCTCTGTCCTGAGCTCCTGGGAAGAGGCTGTCACGCCCCCTCCATCATTTCAGTCCCCACCTCAGGATGTCACCTCGTCTGTTGCTCCCTCACTCCTTAGGCAGTTCTGTCTGCTCCCCCTTTCCCTTGTCCTGCGTCCAGAACCTCCACACCAGCCAAACCTCTGATATCACTTTGTGGTTGCCTGGGCTGAGTTCTTCTGCTCCGTCCTACAGGTACCAGCTTCAGTCCCAGGAGGACACCAAGGAGAGGCGACACTCCCATACCATTGGTGGGCTGCCCGAAGCCGACGACCAGTCAGAGCTGCCTTCCCCCCCTGCACTCTCCATGTCCTTGAGTGCAAAGGGCCAGCTTACCAACATAGGTCAGTGTTTCCGGTCACTCACTGTGGCATGGGATGAAGCAGGGGTCACCCTGCAGTGTGAGGCAAGGCAGCTGGACTTTAGGGTTCGTCTCGTATTTGACTCCCACCGCACTGGGTGGCTTCGTGGTGCCTCAGTTTATCCGTCCAAAATCAGATTGAAGGCAAAGTGCTCCAAGATCCTTAAACTGAAAAGTTGCCCCTGGGCACAAGCTGTAAGGGTCCTTGTAGCATCAGAGAGTCTGAATGATGGCGTGGAAAAGCCACAGACCGAGGCCCGGAGATCAAACTAGTGCAAGAAGCAGACAGTCGTTGCCAGAAAGGAGCTGCCACACTCGGGGCTGCGATACTAAAATGCTGGGCTGGTGGAGAAGAAGGAAGGGACAGTTGTTTGATTGCAAACGATGGAATCTGCCTCCAGACTCAGAAAAGTGCAGGCTCCCCGGCTGCTGTGGCTGATCCAGGACCATCCTAGCCCTGAAGGCAGAGCTGGTGGAGACACGTCCTGGCTACACCCTTTCTAAAGCCTAAGGAGAAAGGAAAGCTAGGAAAGAAGGAAGAGACTGCTGATTCAGAGGCAGGGACGCAAAGAAGCTTCAGGTGGAGGCCTGGCCATGGCACAGGAGCTCACCAGCCCTGGCTCTGGGAAGCAGCATGCCGTGATTGGCTCAGTGGGAACCCCTTTAGAACGAGCCCGGGACAGGCTTGTCGTTTGCCGTGTCTTTCTAAGTCCACCTCCTGTCTCAGCTGAGTGAAGGAAAGCAGTAAGGGAAAATGAGGACCTGGAACATGCCTGTGGGATGGCTGCGGGCAATTTGAGGAAAAACTAGGAATTAAGATCATTTTGCCTACAGGAGGGAATGATTCCTAAGGCAGGGTCATCTGGTTACCGAAGGGCCATTAAATGGAGGACGGGGCCAGCTTGTTCTCCATCTCCACTGAGGACCAAAGAAGAGGAAATGCGTTAGCGCTGCAGGATGAAGGGGCTGGGCTAAACCGTGATCGCCTTACGTATTCGAGAGGGCCGAGAGAGGTGCGAAATCTTCCGCACAGGTCTTTATGGAGAGACTAGACATCCACCTGCCTGTGTGGAGGCAAAAGAGTAGCCAAGGGGAGGTGCATGTGGGAGTGAACCCTGGGAGGCTGTAACCCCAACACGGGAGGGACAGAGGGGAGCAGGTCCTGCAATCGGCAGGGATTCAGCGGAGCCCAGCTTCAAAGCAGATTCTAGGAGACTTACCTGAGCTCCATCCATCTGACCTTCCAGCCGGATGCTGGGCAGAGAGGGCTGTGTTTCTCGCTGCGTCAGAACCGACCAGTGGCCTGGGACGACGCGGCTTGTGGGGAGAGTCTGGCTCCCTCCCATAATGCCGAGCCCATCGGAGCCCATGGCCTGGCCCCCTTCTCTAGCTGCCTCTTTGTCATCATTCAGATCTGAGTCTTGGCCCGAATTCTTAGTCCTCCCAAGCTGCCAGGTGTATTTTACGGAACCACGACATCCCATTTTCATCGGCACTTTCAAGTGATGTGAAGGTTTCAGAAAAGCGACAGTTCCCAGGCAGGGCTGAGGGAAGGTCTTTAAAATAGGAAACGCTGTTCTCCCTTTATTCCTGACAGCAGGGTCCTTCTCCGTTAGGGCTCGATCTCCCCAGGAGAGACCCCACCCCTAACCCCCAGCTGCCTGCACACTCCCACTGCCCCACCTCGCCCTTCCTCTCCTGCCCTCTCACCATTTGCCTCCCATGCTCCTGGTGCTCCATTTCCCAAGGGACCCAGAGAGCTGATGACCCTGCCTCTTCTCCTGCCCTCCCCCTCCCTCCCCTGTCCCCCTCCCCTCTGTCC